CCCCACGGCTGAAAGGGCGAGCATGTTTGGTGGGACGGGGATTCGAACTCGCGACCCACAGATTGCTAGTCGAGTGCCCTAACCACCTGGCCATGCCGGGCCCTAGACTAAATGAGACGTTTTCGAAACACAAGCAGAAGTAATGTTAGAATTGCAATAACAGTATTGTTATTAGGTGCTATTATTAATTTTCTTATAAAATTATATCGTCATAATATTTCTCTAAAGCTAGTCTAGTTTCTTATCTTCTAACATTATTTTTCAGTCAAATATCTTTTAGACTCCTTTTATTGATGGTTTCAGTAGGTTACAGTTTTAATAAATAAACTTAGTGTTCCGAAAATTGTTTAATCTCGAATTGTTTAATCTTCGAGGGGGGTCCATTCAATCTACCCTTTAGTCAACTTGTGTTATTGGGTTATACTAGTTTCGGAAAATTCTACTCCTCATCAGTAACCCTGAACACAAGTTTACCAAAGAAAGATAAGCTGGACCTATATCATAGTGGAAAGCATGATCAAATTGTAGATTGAACTGGACCTCCCTTGATCTTAAACTATTTTCGAAATAATAAGTTCATTTACTACATCTGATAGTGTGTGGCTATATAATGTGAAGAACTGAATAGTGGCCAATGACACTTTTTCTTCACTTCACTTATCCAGTGAATAGGTTTTTCTCATAGTGATTACAAAGCACGTCCACACCATCAGCATGTTGGCTTACAGTTTTGTTTATGTTTGTTTTTGCAGATAACAGCTTTGTTTAATGTGAGTTTATTAGATTACAAATTTATTTGATGTTGGTTTTATAGATTACAGCTTCGTTCAATATAGGTTTCTAGTTACTAGATTACAGCTTTGTTTATGTTTGTTTTTGCAGATAACAGCTTTGTTTAATGTGAGTTTATTAGATTACAAATTTATTTGATGTTGGTTTTATAGATTACAGCTTCGTTCAATATAGGTTTCTAGTTACTAGATTACAGCTTTGTTTAACGTGGGTTTTGTTGATAACCCCTTTCTTTATTGTATAATTTGCAGATTACAGCTTTGTGTAATAGGAGTTTAATAGGTTTGATTAATGTGGGTTTAGTAGATTACGTATTTGTTAAATTTATGTTAAGCCGATAAACTCTATTTCTTTAATTAATCCATAGGTTTAACTTGCGGTTAAAGAAACTCAAACTGGTCTTGATATGAAGGATACGTTTTACAAAATACAGTAGAAAACACAAATATTCCTTGAGTTTCTTCGCTTGACTTTATATTGACTACTATTTTTAGGGTAATCTAAATTCTAATGTCAGCCTCATTTGATAAGCATGTGAAACTAGAACTTAATGGCATGTAGAAATTATCAACTGTGGACGCTTAACTGTGTTTTGGCGCGGAGCTACAAAGCTAACGGTCTACCCTTTTGAAATAGCTATAATCAGGGTGCAAAAAAAAGGAGTGAAACATTGAAGTAGGACGTAATTTTTCTTCTGACTGTGCAGAGAGCTTTTATTAGAAAAACTGGTTTAACTCGCATTTGGTGGTTACTTAAGACGTGATAAACGTTGAAAGACAAGAAAAATGAGAAACAATGAAAAATACGGTGCCAATAATGATACGCTGCTTATAAAAAAACATTTGCCAAGAAGGCTTAAGCTTTGTGATTAAGTTATATTAAGAAGAATATTGATATATTTCCTATTGTGTAAAAGGTTAATTTTTAATATAATTTTGTAATCCGTATTTTATTTTATCGATGAAAGGAATAAAAAGCAAAATAATGATTGTGTTGCAAAATTGTTATTCAAATATTTTGGAATTAAAAAGTTCTACACTTCTATATAATGGCGAAAAAACAAACAAGTAAAATGAATCTCGATATTTGGAATAATAATCTAACAATTTACATATATAGTGTTTCACATTACTGTTTTCAGTGCCAAATCATTAAACATGATATCAAAATTTCATCGTAAAAATATAACTAACTCCATTTGTCTTCCCAAAAATTATTACCCAAACACAACATTTTCTGACCTTATTACATATTTTTTTATTTTACTGGTTTAAAATAATTAACTCATTGTTGAAAGGATTTAGATATTGAAATGTTAAAAGTCTTTGATAGGTATTTCGTTTTGTTCAATTATTTATTCGTCGAAAATCACTTTTATTTATTTTTTAAAAATCTTCCTCGCCAGTTAAGTATTATAAGTGAATTGATTAATGATCTATGATATGCTTATCACATATTAAATTGAAAACACACGTTAAATAGAGTTGTCCCGAAGAATCACTTTTTAATATTTGTTTTAATGCACAATATATTGAAGATATTTTGCATACCACAAGTATTTCGTTTTGTTGTTCATCTAACTTTATGCAATTTGTCACAGTCAAGACTACATTAATTTAGTGCCAAAGAAAATACCCCTGGATCTTAACAACCCATAGTATCTTATAAATAACTCGAAAAACATTCAATGCTAGGTAATGTACAGTCACAATGAAGATAACAAACAACCTTACCAACTTTCGCTGTTGAAGTAATGCGTGTGTTGGAGTCCTTAATCCACGAAGTAACAGTTACATAGTCCTTTACAAAGCTAGGTATGTGACATTTGAATACTCCAGTATTTCCAAGTATCACGAACTCGTCGTATACCTGTGCTTCATAGGGCTTTTTGACAACTACATGATACAAGCACTTATGAGAACCTGCTCATGAACCGAACAGAAACACATACACATAAAGTAAATTAACTTCATAGAACAAATATTTTATGTGTTCAAGTGTAATTTAGTTCTTTTTTTTCTGTGGAATTAGTGTCTATATTTTGATCAATGAAAATGTGCTGTTTGAGTAAACAAAGCTGTACATGCGGTAGGAAATAATATAAGTAAGGTTAATTTTAACAACTTTTAAAGTCATGACACATATTTGTCAAGTAAGAAACTTGATAAATCAAGTGTGGATGAACCAAAACACACTTTACGTTAATAATATGATCTTTATTCCAAATATTAATAACATTAAGTAGAAAGACGTTAAAGCAGTTTTTGGTTACTTTAACAACTAATTGTCATATGCTTCTATTTATATTATATATATATATTTATACACTGAAATTCCCGTGGACATTATTAAAACAGTTAAACAAAAACACTCAAAACATAATATATAAACCCACAAATTACTGCTGAGATTTCCTATATATATTTTACAGGGAGAATTTATGATTTCAACCAATTCTTTGGTCAGTTTTTACACTGAATGTTGTTGTTGTTGTACCACGCAAAAACAGAACTACTCAATATAATTCAATATGTGAACCTTACTGGTAATTTGAGATTTAAATAGAAATAGTATATTTGCTTGTACATATATTGTCAAACAGTGAAACGTCATTTATCGGTGTTTCGAAGATTTCGTGCAGATGCATTTAGAAAAAATGCACATTCATACCTTCGTAAGGTCATTCATACCTTCGTAAGGTCATTCATACCGTCGTAAGGTCATTTATACCTTCGTAAGGTCATTCATACCTTCGTAAGGTCATTCATACCGTCGTAAGGGCATTTATACCTTCGTAAGGTCATTCATACCGTCGTAAGGTTGTCAGAATTTACTTAAAAATAATTATCTATTAAATGATTTATCAAGAAATAGACAAATGTCGGTTACGTAACAGTTAGGTTATTGACGCCTGCTAAATTACTGTGAGCTATAATTATACAAACTTAGTTAGTTAAATAAATGTCATAAAGCAAGTGAAATGGAATAATATCCACCCCTTAACAACTTACCAGCGCTTATATCAACTGATGCGCTAAGAATCGATCCGATGACATTACTTGCTGTACACTGATATAAAGCATCGTGAATATCCTGTCTGTAGGATTCTGGAGGAAATGGCGGGAAATGTAAAGTACCATTAGGCAGAACATGTCGGAGACCTGGAACGTGAGTCACTTCTTTTCCATTGTTTGTTATCCACAATATACGAGGAGGTGGATAACCTGTAGCAGCACAATGTGCTGAACCCCCTATGTCGTTCGAAAATTCTATCAACTGGAGAGGCTCCACAAGAAACTTTGGTCCGTGCGTTTCAGTAGTTGTAAGTAACCCTAGAATAAAATGAATACAGTACAGAAACATGTCATACATAGTAAGAGTGCATTAATATTCGTTCATCAGACATTATGAAACAGAATACCAAACGTTTTCAGCAATTTTTACATCAAAATATGGACAACCCTAGAATAAAATGAATACAGTACAGAAACATGTCATACATAGTAAGAGTGCATTAATATTCGTTCATCAGACATTATGAAACAGAATACCAAACGTTTTCAGCAATTTTTACATCAAAATATGGACAACCCTAGAATAAAATGAATACAGTACAGAAACATGTCATACATAGTAAGAGTGCATTAATATTCGTTCATCAGACATTATGAAACAGAATACCAAACGTTTTCTGCAATTTTTACATCAAAATGTGGACATTTTTCACAGTGTACAAAATAACTGATGAGTAAAATGGATGTCACGTAAACAATACATATATAGAGCAAGCTTCATTTTTTAAGTCAAGCTGATACAACTAGACGTTTTGTCTAAAAATATAAAATATGTCACTTCAATGAGAGTATTTTTTCTTGGAAATATCACACTTTCATGCTGAAGTGGCGTAGAGTTATGAGATTGAGTTGCTTACTTTTTACTAAAACTGAAATATCAAACTTGTAAACTTATTAAACAGTTTTTTCTAACATTAATATTTTTTAATGAGTAGAGAGAATAGCTCTTGTAGTAATTTTATGTTTTCTTATTGTGTGATTATTAATGATAAAAGCAACTGCTGGATGAAACTAACAAAAAGAAAAAAATACTGTTTATCTTTAATTTTCTGTTTAATCCTCCCTTGGGAGAATGAGATAGCTGGTAGGTATCGAGTAATTCAAATTATCAAAAGAACAGGTGGTTGAGAAAGGTTTCGTGGAATTAGATTGGTGTGATATTGGCTAGAAACTTTTGTGAAGCATTTCAGAAAACATCAAGGTAGAGCGTTTCAGATAATCTGTATATAATTACTTTCATAAATTTGAGAATTAAATTTTACCTTAGTAACTAATTTTAAGCTATCTAAAAGGGGCGTACAGTGGTCTTCAAGTTCGGTTTCAGAAAAAGTCGTATTTTCTATTACTAGATACCAGTTGTTTACTATTTTATATCTTACATTTGGACTGCTAATCCACCATCGTATTCACAGAAGTCCTGAGAAGGCCTTGTGAGACTGAGCCAAATAAACTTGTAATCATTTAAATAAAATTATGCGTTACTCTTCTAATCTCAGTAATGTAGAATGTCATCTAGTTATTAAATATTTACTGATTATAAATAAGTTTATAGATACGTTACAGACGTTAAATCATTTGTCTTCAAGGTTTAGATGTGTTGTACACTGTGTGTATCTTATGTATTGTTTTCAGTTACTACGATACGTCATCCAAACGGCTAGGCCTAGTTGAATATCTCTATATTTCACTACAAAATAAAGTTAATAAAACCTAATTAAAGAAGGCTCAGGCTACATATTTAAAGTTATTAGGTTAAGTTATATGATTATACAAGATAAGCAACGTAAGTGAAAGGACGGACGCATTGTAACAAAACTGTGAGGACCAGTTTCACGTTATATTTCTTTTGGAGTTGAATAATAAGTTTTATCTACACTGCTTGACCATGTACTTTAGCGATAAAATGAGTTAGAAAAGTAAAGGTAAACGGAAAAATACATTGTGAAATCATTAGGCTGTATTCAAATTATTTTTTTAATATTATCTCCTTTTTATATAAATATACAACTTTCAAAACATGAATAAGTTATAAATAAAATAATATAAAAACGCTTTTATAAAGAAGGTTGAGTTTCATTTTCGACATAATATGCTCAGATGATTGTACGCAGAAATATAAGTCAATACAGAAAATATATATTAAGTATTATTTTGAAATATATATATTTTGCTCCGAACGTGTATTAAGTATTTGATAATTTGGTACATATACAACGATTTTCTGGTACAAAATAACAAATAAAAAAAAACTTCCATCTCGTGAGATAATCATCTGTTTTTTTCTTTACGATACAAAGTAACATTCCTTCCGGGCTTCCCTAAAATAACTTCTTCTGTAAACAACTTCCTTCTGATTATTGAGAAGAGACAGCTATCGTTTCGTTGTATCTAATCCTCCCCGTGGAATTCTAGAGGGAAGTAAGATAGATGAGGAAATGAACACATTTCAGCCTGGTATAAAAGCCTATCGATTGGCGATTCCACTCATTGTTGACAGTCGAAGACAGATAGAAAGAGGTAATTTGTCTTTTCAAGACTTTCTCAATGACTCAGTTTACAGGCGGAGAAAGCTTTCTTGGCTGGATATAAGACACCCTGACAGAGTGTATCAAAATATGATAACATACCAGCTACTCTACTCCGTGTAGATCAGTATAGTACAGTTACCTGAAGCTACTAAGGCTAGAGATTAGAAGTAATTCTGTATTGAAAGTACCGAAATCAGTGCCTAACAATCTACGTTGTCAAATCCGTCTTTCTAATATACAGACTTGAAAATCTATCTATCAATTTATTACGAGTGATTGTGTACATATACAGGGTGTGCATAAGATTTGTAAACGTTACGTATATCTTTATTTACACACATACGGACACGTTTTGTACGTGAAACAGTTATTTATTCCTGTGCGTATACACATTAAAAGTAATGTGAACGGGGTTATGTTTGCACTCACTTCCCAAATTACTAGGAACCGCTACTTATAGAGTAAACCGGTTCTCACTTTGTATTTATGCAAAATAGCTCTCTACAATTTAGAAAAACAAAACCACTAAGGATCTATAAATATAGTCGTTAAATCTTTTGAGCATTAGTTATCGTGATAATAGGATACACGAAAGCTATGTCATGCTTTGAACGAGGTGTTATTGTTAGCCTCAATGGTAGTTATCTCAATGCCACGCATACTACATAGTTGTCAGATAAAAACTTCATATAATAAAGGAAACTGTGTTACAGTGTGAACACTTTCCCCAAGCTTTCGAAGCATGATTATAATTAATTATACTTGTCATAAGACATTTGTATTAGGCCTATTTTATTTTTAATATTGCATTCTTTATCTAATCCCTTAGAAATTTCCAAAAATTCGAGTTCGCGGGTTTGAATCCCCTCACCGAAGATGCTCGCACTTTCAGCCGTATGAGCGTCATAGTATGACAGTCAATCCTACTTTAAGTTGGTAAAAGAGTAGCCCAAGAATTGGCGGTAGGTGGTGTTGACTAGCTGCCTTCCCTCTAGTCTATCACTTCTAAATTAGGGACGTGTAGCGCATATAGTCCTCGAGTAGCTTTACGCGAAATTCAATAAAAACAAACAATATGATTGTGGCTCAGAGGTAAATATGAAGAGACTTATAACGTTAAAAATCAGATTTCGATACCTGCGGTGGGGATAACTTAGATAGCCCATTTTGTAGCTTTGTGCTTAATAATCAAGAACATATAAACCTACACTCTGAGATGACATTTCAATGGCAGGTTAAATTATAAGTGTTTCAAAATAGTGGAAACCGAATTGTGCAAAAATAATAATAATAATAATTAAAGGGAAAATATTTCAGCTATAGAGGCGCTTCATTAATAGCACATTAATGAGAACAAATTGTGAGGGATAGAATATCACTTGTTAATGTGTAGAAAGTGTGAGGACTGAAAGTGCACTTTAGGGATGAGCAGATACGCCATCGTTAGGAGTGAATTTCACATCCAAAAAAAAATATATATATTATTACCATCTCTAAGCGTAACCTTTGGTATTGATATTTTATCCAGATTATGTTGCAGTTTTGAGATGTAAATTTTTAAACAAAATGAATTAACTTCATACATTATTCAGCTTTGGAAAGGTTGAATAGTTTTATTTATGGTATACAATTTGGACTTAAGGAGTTTGAAAAACCTTCTATATAATATGTTAGGCGTTAGCTTTGAAAAATGAAATGTGAAATATCACACATGTTGATCCTACATTGCATTTGAATCTCTGGGTTGTTAGATAATTCAATAAAAAAATAATTTATACATTATATCAGTTTACGTTCATTATTGATGGGTTTTAAGAATGTTTTCTTGTTATATCAAAAGAAACACACATCATAGCCCAAATTCTTCAAACACTAGCACGAAAATATTTACTCTATACATACTTACATAACTGCATTTTAGTGAAACTGAGCTCAAAATGGTTGCTTGAATCATTTCAGCATATTTTCTTATTTTTATATTTCAAAACTGTTTGAATGCATGTCCGAGTAGTTTTGTTAACCAGTAAAATATTGGATACCCAAGTTTTTTAAAATAATAGAAACTTTGAAGGCTTCGATGTTTTTGATGAAAGAGAAAGGCATTAACCTTACACTTTTTTGTAATTGATTGTTAAAACCTAATGAATTTTAAGTCCGACATTAATCAATCATTTTCAGTAAACTCTGTTTGATGCATGCCAGGGGTTTTAAACATATTCTTCAGACCTAACCATTAGATTTTAATAAGCTTGTTTACCATCATTCAAGAAATTTCTTTCTATTTTTAACTTGAAACTATATATAAAAAAGATCATTAGCTTCTGCTTTCGACATGAAAGCTACGAAAAACTATTCCAGAATACTCTAGAAACCTGCTTAATAGCTACGAAAAACGATTGCAGAATACTCTAGAAATCTGTTTAATAGCTACGAAAATCGATTAGATTACAAAGTTGCACAATTAATCTTGAAAAACCGAATACATTTTTGCGGTCTTTGTCAAGTGATGTCCATGAAAAACTTCTAGGCAAGGCGCAAAACTCATCTTTACTAATATAAAGCCCGCACTGGTCACTTACAGTCCAGAAAGGGAAGGTTTGCTTAGAATCGGATGAGGATTGAATACTTAAATGACAGGCAAAATTTAAACTGTGATACAAGTGATGTCCATAAAAAACTAATTTCTAGGCAAGGCGCAAAACTCATCTTTACTAATATAAAGCCCGTACT